CAGGATGCTGGCAAAATGCCACTTTTCAGCTTATTTGTCTCCCACAGTCCAGTTCACTTATTTTTCCTTCATTTTCCAATCATTTTAATCCAGCGCAGCATCAGCAACACCATCATTTTAAATCAGGCCTAGTCAGTATTTCCTCTCAGTTGTTTTTAATATTTGTCTTAGTTTATTTTCCAAAATAAAAGACTGTGAGCATTTAAAACCGATAGCAAGCACATATCAGTTTGCTGGCTTCATAAGGTCGGCCCCCCGCTGACTGTTTGCCACTGCTGGTCCACCACAGTCACACCAGTGACGGTGACTCCAGTGACATTCTGGTTAAAACTGAGGATTCTGTAAATTGGCTGACTCGTTGTTGGTCAGGTGACCTTGTGAAACTGTTTAAAATCAGTAATAAAAATTATATTTGGCATTATTTTGACAAAATTTTAATTACCCAGCCATTAAAATGATTAATGAATTAATGAAATATAGCGAGCGAGTGTGACTCGCCTTCTCATGCCTTGAGATGCTTCCTCTCTGATGAGCCTCGACCCAAAGAAGCAGTTTAATAGAGCTGAAAATACTGTGTTAAAATGTAAAATAAAAGTCCTGATAACACCACTGAACAAAATCTCTGACAAATGAATTTTTCAAATAAAATACATATTTTTAAATGCAGTATAATTTTAATGATATAAAAAGTAAACATGAATCTGTTTTATACAAATTCCTCAGTTAAACCTCTTAAAAATATTGTTTTATATTAAAATCGGTTTCTGAAATGTTCAAAATTGTTTTAGTGACGAGCTGCTTTACAGATGCAGAGCGACTATGAAACAGGATAAAAAGGAAAAATCAGAGAATCATAAGAGAAAAGTGTTATTTAATCTTCAACTGTGTAAATGTATATCCTGACTTTTGGAGCTGTGTCTGATATTTTAAGCATCTTTTTAAGCCCTGAAACCTTTGTGACACGATTTCCACTCTAAATGGAGAACGACCCACGTACAAAAACACATATTGGTATTGGCAGATAATTGCTTACAGGAAAAAAGGATAGATTTGACAGATATTTGGTGGTGTAGTTGTTGGACCCTGGGCAGTTTATTAACGTTACCGCATTTGTAACCCTACAGAAATAAGCGTTATATTTCTCTGTAGTGGTGAGTGAAAATCTTGTTCAGACTGAGGAACGTTCTCTCAGCTGGCAATAAGCTAACTCCGTATATATTTTTGCGACCTGAGCTACTCGTTAGCGTCTTCCAGAAGGGGACAGATCAAATATGACCAATAAAGCATGAGCAGGATCCACCATAATTTGATGGCCTTTCTTCCTACTGAAAGACAAACATATCTCAAATAACTGTTTTTGTGATTGACGTCTGATTTTCCCAGTCATTTTATGCTAATTATATTATGCTGCTTTATGGAATTAGCATGGTTGACACTGTATGACGTTCTGTTATCTACAAAAATGGACAAAAGTATGGACAGAACTCAGGCTCCAAGATGGGTGCAAGGACTTTTCTTCTCTTCCCGGTTTAGTTATGGAGAATTTCACTCGATAGCAAGTTCTCCCTCCATCACACCATGCTGGCAAGCTGGGAGGGTGAAGTCTAGCACGTACCTCCTTCAACACATGTGAAGCCACCTCTTTAAAAGCTGCCGCTAATGCAACTTCACTGGAGCTCAACACGCTTGGAGTAGAAGGCTAACTGCCAATTCTGTTACACCGGCTATCAGACAGCTGTGTTGCCCTTTTCACAAGAACTGGAAGTGTGTGAACGCTGGGGAAAATAAAGTCTGCGATTGTCTTACGGACAGTTATTAACCTCAGAAATACAGGCCTTCGTATCACTTCAGCTCACCGTCACTTTATCTTCATCACAGTCGTACAGATTGAAATTTGAGGATGTGTCCAGAATTGTTGGAGAACCAAACACACAACAATGTGGGAGTCCAAACTAAATAAAGGACATAAATTATTGATGGAAAAATTCCTTCACAGCTTTCAGAGCACAGTGATAAATCGATGGATAAGTGAAAATAACCATAACCAAAACACTGGATAAGCCATTTTAGCTGGAGATGCTGAAACAGCTCGCTAACAATAAACTAGTAAAAGTGGCGAAAAAGCTAAACATGCGCACCTCCCGGGCAGGGGGGCGTGGCAGGTCGTCAGGGTCCGCAGCACCGCTGTAGATGTTTTCTTATTTGCATTTATAAGCACTCAGCTGGTTTATTGATACATTTAATTTACAACGAGAAACTGTCAAACACTAAAAAGTCGTGAGGCTGAAGTCAGTTTCTTGTTCGAATTTTCCCGTTCCACCTTAAATGGTGCAGCAGTTACGTTCTGGCTGCTCAGACACCATTTAAGACAGAATCACCAGCACCAGTGAACAAACATCTACTCTCCACCGAGCACTCGCTCTCTCAGTTGATCTCTGATCGTTTTTGAGGAAATGAAAACTGTTCCTCTGAAAGCGGCTGTAGCAGCAACTTTAAATCACGAACTGCATTCAGTGTCAGTGTCACAGTGTCAGTCAGCAGCAGTGAAACGCAGACACAGAAGTTCTTTAAATCCGTAAGACGAAGTTTATTCTTTTATTAATTGCACAAACTCGTTTTCCTCTGATCATCGTCAGCAGGCAAACCACTGAAACTGAGACGAGGCTGTTTTAGCTTTATGCTCTAATACTTAAGTAAGCTGTACACGCTCAACCCATGGTTGTTGCTATTGTTATTGCTTTAGCAGAAGCAGCGTTACCCGGTAACGACTACCAGAAGAAATGCAGAAACGTGAAAAGGGCCTATTGAGGGTGGAAACTGGAGGACCATCTCTTGGATTCCCGGTTACGGGTGGCTGTGGCATCGCCGGCAACCAAACTCACGATTCCCCAATCATATGCTAAAACTATGCAATGCTAACGACACTCTTTTGTCTAAACCGTTCTTTGAAGTGGCTCATTCTCTTTCTATTGATGACCATATGCATTCTGCATCCACAGCACAACCTGCCCTGAGACCCAATCTCCAGCTGCAGTACAGCATCCACGACCCCAAAGGTCAAACTGTTCCACTGAAACATCCGGGACAAAAAGGCGGTCCCGCAGGAGCCCGCCACCCAGCGCCCACTTCCCATAAACCCCTTCACCCACGAGACAAAGACACCAGACTGAGGCTCTTCCTCAGTTTCCATAGCGATCATGAAAAGATGCCAGCGCTCAGCTGAAAGCCCCGTCATTACCACAATCATTCAATCAGACTGATTTGCATAATTCAAATCCAATTCGCTGAAACATCATCCGGAGAACTCGCTTTGCTTCAAAAGAATACCTCCCAAAAATCACATTTACACAGTTTCCCTCCAATTCCAGACGCAGTCCATCAGTCACGACATGTTTGGTGTCTGAAGTCTGTTTCTTTAGTTTTAGCACTGGAGCTAGAAGGCTAACATAGCAGGTAATACAAGCTTATGTACACCAATTAGCACAACGCTAACTGCATGCTTAAATCATTATCCAATTGCCCTTAGACTGTGTGGAGTTGTTAAGTGATCTCGAATAGAACTGTTTATATGGTTTCTGCCGTGTGACACAGTTATCTAGGCCTGTTTCAGTAAAAGAACTCTCTTATTTGGGTAACCGTGTGGAAGATAATCATCTATTTTCATCTGATAAATTTGAGATTCTTCCTAACACAGCTTAGTTTTTATAAAAGCGCAGTTCAGTAAAAGTGGTAGTTAATAGGTAGTAGTGGGCGATATACCAGTTATCCGGTTTGGAGTCTGATCATATATCCCAGCCCTTATTTTGCGTTCGAGTGTTGCTGGAAAACCTTGAAATCCCAGTTTTCCATTTGTAAATTGCGCTCGAACGGCTGACAAAGTCGTACTTGTGGTAAACTGGTAAACTTGGGATTCTAGTTCTGAGGTCTCCAACCCAGGTCCTGGAGAGCTCCCTTCCTGCAGAGTCTAGTTCCAACCACAATTTGCCACACCTCGTCCAGCTAATCAACCTCTTCCCAAGTTCAGACATAAAACAACATTTAGCAACGTCCTTGCTGGACTCAGAGAAGCCGCTGTGTGCTCGCCTTTCAAGGCATTTCTTCAGTTTTGGTTCTACGATTTTTTCCAAGAAAAATATTTTAGATTCACTTCAGTTGTTAAAAATGTCATTAAAAATGAAGGCTATTCCACAGTAATATGGCACTGTTAATCTATAAAATAGGTTAACTTAGGCATCCAAACTGGTTTTATTTGATAAAAATACATATAACTACACTATACAGATACATATGAAACAGTCAGAAATCTTAATTGTATAAATTTGATATTAATTTTTGGCCATACTGCTCTACTGGCTGTAGTATATTGTCATTATTAATGTGGCCACAAAACTGTAATTAATCTAGTGATAAAGAATTTGTGAATATCACACACATTTTGAACGTCCAGTGCTGTGGTGTCTGCAGCCGATTAGTTTTGCCTGATGACTTGACTGTGTTGTACCCGAAGCTGTTTTGTCTGATGTCTGAAACCTGGCGCTGTGGTCTGAGGACATCCTAAAATCTACACCGTAACACAGACAGCTTTTTCTGCAGGCATGATATCTGCATGCAGCCCTGAGGAAGTTCAACCAGCTCAGCTCAACAGCTGCGTTTACAGAACAATCTCATCTCAGATGGTTACAACAAAGGAGGCATTAATGTAGGATATCACATTACTTAACATGTTCAAAGGTTCAGTTACGTTCATGTGTGGGAATACTAGTGTTTGCTGTGGTTTGCATGAAATAAATAAATGAATAAATGAACAACGGCAGTAAATCATATTGTCTAGTTTTACATACTGGCTAGTTTTTAGCTATGCTGCATACACGTTTACTCCAGTGCAAAGCTAAAGAGGAAAACCTCAAACACCAAATTAACTACATTCAATGTAAGAAAACTGTGTAAATTTGACTTTTCGTTTCTGAAGTGGAAGAGAGAGAAGACACCGCCTGTCCTACCTCAGTCAGGTGGGGTGTGGGGTTGAATCCGCACATGTTGCACACCTGGGCGTGGCACTGGGTGCAGTGGTTATAATTGGGGGGCTCCGCAGGGACCCCCACGTTTAGCTCAGTCTGACAGAGAGGGCAGGTGACTTTCTGCCTGCTCTTCTGCTGCTGGGTGGGCGTGGCCTGGGGTCCGGGTTTGGGGGCCACTGGCGGTCCTCCTGGCTGTTTTTGGGGCGTCTTGGCTGGAGACGGTTGAGCCTGGGCTGGGGCCTGGGCGGGGGCTTGAGTGGGCTCCACTGATATTAAACTGCTGGCCTGGTTCAACAGCGACGCACCAAAGCCGAAGAGCTTCCCGAAAGGTTGCTCCGGAGGTGGAGGCTGCCGGGACGGGGAACTTCCGGCGCTTCGGGTTTGGGGCTGCGCTCCAGGCCCAGAACGGGATAAATCCGGTTGGGATGGAGCTTTGGCCAGTCCTGGCAGGGGTACAGCGCCTGGTGCCGGAGGTTTACTCTGAGGAGCTGTCTTTGAAGGATCTGGACCGGGTTGTTTTTGAAGATCCTGGGCAGGTTGAGGTTGAGGTTTTGGTTGGGTTTGAGATGTTTGAGATGGAGGAGGAGGTTGGGCCATGGTGGGAGGAGGAGGTTGAGCCAAGGTGGGAGTTTGGGGGGCTGTTTGGGGTTGGGGCTTGCTGGGTTGGGATGGAGAATGGATCTGCTGTTGACTTTTAGAGCGAGGAGTGTCCATGTCCATCCCCAACGCTCGCTGCATCTGACAGTTCAGACACAACCACTCTTGCACCTGGAGAGAGAAAGAGAGAGTGTTTATGTATTTGCAGTCATCTTCGTACATAGCAGTAGTGGGAAATATGAGGATGTGATGTCATTATCACGATAAATCAGCATCACTGGTAAACACTTGCATATATCCCCCTCTCTACCTGCAGTCTAGCTCCACCCACTCATATTGAAGTTATAAGGAGTGTTTCAGCCTAGACTCCGGCCATTCACTTTGTGAATGACGCACAGCCAATCAGAACAGACCTCATTTACATCAGTCTTAAAGGAACAGTAACAAAAACGGCCAGTTTAATTCTAAAGGATAAAGAGAGGTTGGAAAACCATGGTCTCAGAAATACATCGACCACAATTATTGGCACCATCAATATTGCATTTTTATTATGAGGTCAAGCTGATATGACCACTTTTCATAGCTCATTTTTACTTAGGGTGCCAATAATTATACTGTACGTCACATGTAACATACCGTTGTTGTCATATCAAACGCTTGTAATTCCACTTTTTCATTTTTTTTAAAAGGAAAATTAGAAATGGACCAAAATAACCTGACATTTTGACCATTTTAACGACGTGTTTCCATTATCGTGATAAATAGCTAGGGATGCACTGATGTGGGAATTGTTGGATGATGCTTTTTTAAGTACAATTTTATTTTATTTTATTTATTTTATTGTATAAGTATGTATTTAATTTTAAGTATTTTATTTTTTAAGTAATTTTTAAATTTTATTTTCTATATATTAAAAAGTATTTTTATTTTTTAAGTACTGTAAAAGTATTTTCTCTGTCAAAGTACTGTAATATTTAATGACCAATATCCACTTGTTTTAGAAAAAAAGGTTCAATGCATGTAAATAAACCATGCATGTACTGTATTTGAACACTGCTGTTGTTAATTTACAGAAACAGAATATAAATTCACAAAAACAAAAACAGACATTTGAGTTTATTTTAACGGTTATTTCTGTTATTATAACGGTAAGTTACTGTATGTCAGAATTACTAGATGAACTAGTAAAACTGCTAAATTACAGTAAAAAGCAGCATTTAGAAATTAAATGACTGTAATTTTACAGATTTTTTCCCTCACTGTGAAAACCTCCTTTTACTGTTCATATATACAAGTAAAATTGTTATATTTAACATTTTGTACCAGCTTTGTTGGTATTTTGACACTCGACAGCTGCGAACTCTTGACGGATGCTCACGTAACCCCACTCGGCGATGTAAACACTGTCAGGGGACTCAGCGGAACCAAAGTAATCCATGAGAGAGTTGCTTGTTTAATCACCATTCACTGAACAGTGATATGACTATAGACAGTTGTTTAATAGGATTAGCTAACAGGATTATTGCAGAGGGACATAAGCAACCAGTTAGCGCAGTTTGACTGTATTAGCACTGCGCAGACTGAAGGAGGGTTTAAAGTACAGCATAATTTATCCATCAACATTGGATTTAAAAGCATAACAGCTCACGTTAATTTAATATGAGAATGATATGGTTTTTATGATGTCATAACGAGCTACAATGTGTCGAGAGACAACAATATACATGTATAACTGACTCAGCAAACCACGTACGCACACACTAATTTCTCTCCTCTCTTTCTGGACAGACGTTATGTAAATCAGCTGAACAGCGGCCAATCAGATGGCTGATACGTGGCGCGGTAACTGTGTCACTCCCACAGCAAGCTAAACACTGAGACTGAGCACTTGAGCGGGAGATGAGATGGTTGGAAAATGAAACTGATGCTCCAAACGTGTAATTTTATCGTGTTTGTTGCAATTTTTCAAATTTAAAAAAGAAATATATTAAGCTGCTTCACATAAATTCAGCCTACAGATTTGCAGAGTATCAGCAAGAGTTAGTGAACAGATAATCGGTTAAAAAACAGCCAAAAAATAATAACAATAATAAAATACACTCTCAGAAAAAAAGGTAGGAAACTTTTACTCTTGTCACTGGGGTGGAACCCTCAAGGCTCCATCTCAGTACCTTTAGTCAGGGAACATAACTGAACCATAATCCACTGAAATGATATGTTCTAAGCTGTACTGACTCCACACACCCCGTCTCGTCTCCAGGACTTTATTTTACTGTTCTGTTTAAAACATTCGGTTATGAAAAGGTACAAATACAAACTTTTCACCTGGAAAAACTTATTTAAGGTTCACAATCAGACCTTAAAACCACTGTTGTACCTTTGAGGGAACATTTATATTGTTTATACCTTGATGAATGAAAAATGTACCTGAACAGAGCCTTTATTACTAACAGTGCAGTTCAGCTGAAATGAGTGCATGGCTGGAGGCTCAGTCTCTTACTCTCTTACTCTTTTATGCGAGAGCTCAGGTGTTGGTAAAACTATCAGTAACATGAACATTTAGCAGCAAGTGGAGGAAAACATGTTTAATCATTCATAAAAATCTGAGGGAAATCTGTATTTTTCGAGAGTGATGAGTAGCGAAGGCTGCCCCTTCAGATGAGCTAAAGCTACAGCTAACTGCTACAACACTGAACGCTGATGAGGACTCGTCGTCCTCTCTCTCCAGTGGACGATGAGCCACTGACAACACATCCTTCACAACGCAGCGCAACGCAATCCGCTGAATTGTCCACCTGTATATGGTTCTGTGTAGAACCTTTTCGAAAACGGTTCTATATATCACCACAAAGGGTTCTTCTATTGTTACAGGCTTGACATCATAACAATAGCAGAACCCTTTTTGGTGCTATATAGAACCATATACAGCACGTTCTCCATTAATTCAGTTTTTTGAATGTTCATGGTTCCACATACAACCATTGTCTTTACTAAAGAACCCTTGAAGAACCATCTTTTTTAAGTGTGTAGCTAGTAATCGTAGTAGCTGCCTAGAAAGCTGAATTTGTGCGTTTGTTCCTGTTTATAGATAAAAGTATTAAAGTGTCATACATGCTAATGTGGCTAACAATGACTGGGCGCTAGTAGCAACAGTTAGCATGGCATAATTAGCATAATGCTAACTGGTGGCTGTGCTGTTTCCTTCAAGGTTAGCGTCATTAGCGCTCGTGACTGAGCTCCTCCTGCCAGCCTGCTGCAGCCGCAGTAACTGTTCGGGGCTGATCTGGCGAACAGTGAACAGTCAGTCAGGTTGATTTAACAGGGTTTAACACGACTGGACGGCAGATCAAATCAAACCAAATCATCGCGTCTGATGGCTTGATTGACGCGGCAGCAGTGCAGGCTGACGTCTCTGAGGCGTCGTCTCCGGTTACAGATGGAAAAAGAGAAAGTGACAAATACTGGAGGAGCTGAGAGAGAAGACCAGCGGGGGGCGAGAGAAACGGATAGAGGGAACAAAGGAGGAACGCCTGAGGAACAGGAACCAGAAATAATCACAACAGATCATGAAAAACAAACCACTGGTGGGGCGGAGAGAGAGAAAAGAGCGGGAGAAAGAAAGAAAGAAAGAAAGAAAGAAAGAATGAAAGAAAGAAAGAAAGAAAGAAAGAAAGAAGGAAGAAAAAAGAAAGAAAGGAAGGAAGGAAGTAAAAAGAAAGGAGGAAAGAAGGAAGGGAGGAAGGGAGGAAGGAAAGAAGGAAGAAAAAAGAAAGAAAGGAAGAAAATAGAAAGAAAGAAAGAAGGGAGGAAGAAAAAAAGAAAGAAAGGAAGAAAGAAGGAAGGAAAGAAAGAAGGAAGGAAAGAAAGAAAGGAAGAAAGAAGAAAGAAAGAAAGAAAGAAAGAAAGAAAGAGAGAAAAAGAGAGACCAGTGAGAGAGAAGACAAGAACATATAGAAGAGATAGAGAGACATAAAGGAAAAAAAGTAAAAGAAACAGAGGAAATAGAGAGAGAGAAATAGAGTAAAAGAAGGAAAGAGAGAGAGGAGGTGGAGAGAGAGAGAGAAGGAAGAAGAGATAATGAGAGAGACAGAGAGAGGTAAAGAAATTAAAAGAGAAAGAGGACAAAGAGAGAGACGGAGGGAGAGGAAAGAGAGAGAGAGAGATACAGACAGAAAGGGAGAGAGGGAGAGAGAGAGGAGAGAGATGGAGGGAAAGAGAGAGAGAGATACAGACAGAGAGGGGGAAAGAGAGAGAGAAAGAGAGAGAGAAGGAAGAAGAGAATGAGAGAGAGACAGAGAGAGAGGTAAATTAAAAGAGAAAGAGAGGAGGGAGAGAGAGATGGAGGGAGAGGAAAGAGAGAGATACAGACAGAGGGAGAGAGAGAGAGAGAGGAGGGAGAGAGAAGGAGGAAGAGGAAAGAGAGAGATACAGATAAAGAGAGGGAGAGAGAGAGAGACGGAGGGAGAGGAAAGAGAGAGACAAAGAGAGGGAGAGAGAGACATAGAGACAAAGAGAGGGAGAGAGAGACATAGAGACAAAGAGAGGGAGAGAGAGAGAGAAAGAGAGAGAGAGAGAGAGAGAGAGATGGAATAAGAAACTTGTACTGCTACACTGTTCAGCCTCGTAGCTCCAGCGCTAAAGCTAAAGAGACAGACTTCAGACACCAAACACGCCCCGGCTGATCGTCTACATCCACCTGTCTGTCTGTCTGTCTGTCTGTCTGGAACATGTGTGTAATAAGGTGTGACAGTCTGAGTGAACATGTAAGGAGGGATTTGTGTGATAATTGGCAACCTAGATCAGTAACAGCCGCTGAGACTGTGCTGCGTTCACACTGCTTACATAACACTGAGACTGTATTAACACTGTACAGTAGGAACACACACGTCAAGCATGGCACCCCCTACTGACCATGTGACCTCACACACACACGCACACACATGCACACACACACACACACACACACACACACACACACACACACACAAGCACCTACCAGTCCCTTCCTGTATTTAATTTCCAGTAACAACAGTCATTCAGCACAAGTTATTAAAGGGGAACTCCACCAATTTTGTAAAATTACTTAATCATTCAGTGGTTTAGATGTAAACAACATCATTCAGGGTGGTTTGGTGTGAAGTTATTCATCAGAGGAGCTGGTTAACTGTTCA